TATCGCAGCAAGAACACTGCACATGCGCAAACGAAAATCCATTCTGTCGATTTGACTAAATTTGGTGAGTTAGTATTGCTAACCAATGATTAACAAAATCGACATTGGTCTATGCGTGATGGGGTATTTGCGCTAGAATCGAAAGAGGGTTCTTGGCAGCAAAGAAAATCGATGTGTATGGCCAGCTTTAATGTCAGGAGTTCTCAAGCAACAGCCCTTTTAATGATGAATGGCTAATCAAGAAAAGCCCCTCGTATGGTTTCAATATCTTGAACAATAGAAAATGCTAATTATGACATTAATGTGCTGCACTTCAAATAAATATTGAATACATCAATAATATATATTAGATAATACTAATTACTATAGTAATAGACATATATACAGCACATTCATTCACAAAGAAGCGTGCAATACCATTTAATAAAATCAAGCTGTAAAGAATGATCTGCAATAAGGTCTGTGGCACAGACTGGATTGACTAATGCAGGATTTCTATTCACTTTTTCCAGAGCATCTCTCATGGCAGCAAAATCAACCATAGCAGGAATACCCCTAGAACAAAAGAAAATACACCATTTAGAAGAGGTATTAATGACTAACTATGTATGACATAACTAGCATGTAGATTAAAAAAAAACTGTAAACAGACCCTATGAATCACTTCATGTATTAGCAAATATGAGCCTGCTGCAGAATAGGAAAGGTTTGGGAATATGAATGTTTAACCTACACACATACATACACACACGTAATGACGCCTATTTTTTTTAAACTGGTAAAAACTTATAGTGCAACTTTAAGAGTCTGCATGGGGTGGGCTTACAGGTGGTGCAAGTATTCACCTGGAATTTAGACAATTTAAACTAAAAGATCTAATTGTGCATTAAAGAGGACCTTCACTAAAAAAAAAAAAAAAAAAAAACTTTCTGGAATTACTTTTTTTTTCTTTTATAGTCCAAGCCACTCCCTGCCTCTTGTCAAAGCAACAATGGTATAAACCAGGGACGTGTGGTCAGGTGAGGCTCTGCCTCACCTAGTATTATGGAGGAAAAAGCTGTCAGCATCTGTCTGAAGCCGACAGCTTTTTCTCCATTCAGATCGGCTTGTTACAGGTTACACAGCAGGGAAAGCCTCCCCGCGGTGTAACCTGTCATGGACGGCGCACTCCCTTTTAATTATCGGCTTTTGACAGGTAGTTAGGTTACACAGCAGCGGGCTTCCCCTCTGCTTGTGTAACCCAACATGGTGAGGTAAGAGCTGTCACAGCCACTACTCTGTTAGAGGCATGAGCTCTGTGGATGGCTTGGACCAATGGCAAAGCGCTACTGGTCCAAGCTGTACAATCATAGAAAAGAAAAAAACCCAGTAAGGACATCGATCTCGATGCCTCACCAGTGACGAGCAAGTGAGCTTGGTTACCTCCACACACAGATTGGTTACCGAGCTGGGGGCGGGGCTTCAGCGGGATGTGGCAGTGCTTTAGCGGGCTGGGGGATGCCTCACCCTGCACAGAAGGCACGTCACTGGTATAAACACTACCCCTGGAGTCTCTTTAGCTTCTACACAACACTGCAGGGGGGAAAACCTGCCACCCACCAGCAAAAAGGCCCGGAGGCAAGAACCAGGAAGAGACAGCCAACTCCCGATGACATAGGATAGATGGTGGCCCCAGACTTAGTATTGGCAGCAAAGCAGTGGATTACAGCAGAACAACACTGAGGGGCACGGGGGTGCCACAGTACTTTCCTTTTGAAAGATCAGAAAACTAGACTAGCTCTTTACTTTGAAATGTTGCAGTAATAACAAATATGGTTATACTATAGGGGTAATTTCCTCTAGAATTTAAAAGGTCATGAAGCAGCTGCGTTACTTTGTGAAAATAATAAGTGTAATGGGCTGGGAAAGAGGTCTGAGCACATCACTAAAAGAAAGAAAAGAGTACATCATTTTTAAGTGGTTTATATTAGGCTATGAAACTGTATTAATAAATACTATTGTCATACTGGTTTGTATGATCACTCGGCACCTTAAAAGTCCCCATGAATTCTTTAAATAGTTTGGATTTAGTATGTTGCTTCATTGTTATCTTTGGAAAAAGGTCAAACTTACGTGAAATCCTGCAAAACTACACGAGCTGGAAGAAAGGGAACCTCTCTACTTTCACAATTACTCTTCCATTTCAAGACTTTCAAGGCATCCTCTTCTTTTACCAAGACACCATCACAATTTCGCACCACAGTTTCCAGCACCACACGGACACAATATGGCAAAGTGTCTGCAGCAAGGGAATAATAAACAAATATTTCACTTTCTTTTCCTTAAAATATTTGTAAATACTTTTCAAATAGTGAAGAGAAAAATTACCTTAAAAATTCAAGAAAACCTTGTTACTTTAGAAACCAACTCACCATAATCAGATGTCTTCAGTTTAGATATATTGAAGAATGTCTTGTCAGGACTGCAATCAAGAGATTCCACCAAGTACTTGAAGGGACTATCTAAGAAAGGATAACCCACAATCAGTGAAAACTCCTGTCATAATTAAAGTATATCTATACCGAGATGTATTTTTTTTGTTGTACTTCTGGATAAAATGGGGAAAGGTTAGAACCCCTGTCAGATTTTTACTGCTACCCAGGGCTCTGTTAGAGTAATTTCACTTCACTATCTGTTCTTGGGACATTTTACTAGATGGAAATTGAGAGAAAATATGCAACACGCAAACCGACAATAAAAAGCTAACAGAGGTTCCAGCATTCTCTTACTTAATCTAAAAGAGATCATGTTACTGCTGGCTGTCGTTCTTTAAGCCCTCATTCACACCAAGCGTTTTGTAGCGTGTTTTCTAACAACAAAACGCTAAAAAAAAACCCGACAGCACTTTTCTATCCACAGACAGCGAGACTTTGATTGGTCTTGTGAGGGAGGAAACCTGTTTAAATTAGACCCGTCACCCACACCACAAACAATGGGGGAAGGAGAACTTCAGCTTAGCAATGCATTTGTAGATTCAGCAGCTCCACCAAAAATTGCAAAGGTGAGCATGTGCTGCATTCATGTCGTTAGGAGAATACAGAAAGTGTGGGAACCCACCCTTTCAAATTCATACCAAGTCCTTCAGGTCTGGTAGGAATTTTAAGGGGGAAGCCCAAAAAAGAATAAAAAAAAAAAAAATTGCCAGGAACAGGAAATGTCACATCAAGGACTGTTTTCCATTGGATATCTCCCAACGTAGCAGCTGCAAAGTCTGTGTTGTAAAATGGCAAAAAATGCACACAAATACGCTTATTTTGTGTCACTCAGGTGTGAATGGGGGCTTAGAGATTTCCCCTACTTTACTGTCCTAGGGCAACCTTTACGCCAGACAGGCAGTTAAGTAATCTCTCCATCATAGCCTGCGACTGCAGCAAAACATGACAGGGGTTCTAATCCTTTCCCACTCTATCCAAACCTAAGAGAAACAAAAAGTTTTGCCTGTAGATAAACTTTAAAAGAAACCTGTCAGAGTAGTATATGGGAGCGAACACTGCTTGAACAAAACACCTGGGGCTGTCATATTTATCCTTGCTTGTGTCAATGACCTCTGTGAATCTATGATCTGGAGCAAGTAAAGGTGTTATCAGGAATCCCAACAAATTACTGCCTATTTGTTAAAGATTAGAAATGTAGTAAACAAAGGATGAGGATCAAATCAGGTATGGCCGCTCCCATTTCTCTAACCTGTTAGATTCCCTTTAAATACAACAAATGGCATCATGTTTTTAATAAAATAGTGCACTACATACCTATGACGTTGGGTGAGACATCTACAGACTTCTTATCTGTCAGTTCAGACCTGCCACCAACCTAAACAAACACACACACACACAATGCTCACAATTGAGTATTTATGATATCAGCCTGAAATGTAACATTCCATGAATGAAGAACACACAGACTATAAAACAGTGTTATGGTTCTCAGTCCTGAAGAATAATGCCTATGTCTGTTGAGTTATAACTAATTAATATACTAAATCTTAAAAGATCTGGAAACAGGAGTACCAAGCCACAGAGCATCTTATTTGGAATATAGGCAAAGAGCTCATGATGTGGTAATCACTGAAAGCTTTGACACATTCACCCATATAGTCAACACATCATGATTAAGAGAACTATGGGGTCAGTGTTTTTTCCACCATAGTTCTCTTAAGGGTCACAGGAGGACATAAACTAGTGTCCTCACGTGACCCAAAGCTCAGTATACCGTGAGCTACAGCTCGCGGTATACTGAGACCGCCACAGCTGGGACGGATCTCAACATTACTGTCGAGAGCCACCCAGCTGCGTGACAGCTGGCTCTGCCAATCAAGAGGCGCTGGAGGATCGGAGCGGGGGAGGGGGAATGCCTGCGGGGAGCCTGACTGACAGTCACGGCTCTCTGCAGGGAGATGATTGAGAAGTGAGCGAGCGGTGGTATGTGTTCGCTCACTTCCCGACCTATTGAGCTGATGTGTGACAGTTTCACTGTCACACGTCGGCTAGAACTATGAGGGTGAACGATTTTCACTCACCTCATAGTTCTCCTTTAAGGGCCCATTCATACCAGCGGTCACTTTATAGCATGCACATAACTGATGGTGTGTGTTGTGCGTATGTGCATCAAAGCGTTTGTTTTACTTAATGGTAAAGTAAACCTGACAGCACATTTAACCCTATGCACAGCAGCGCAATGAGATGCATTATAACACACCTTAGCCCTCGTTCACACCTGAACGTTTTGTAGCACGTTCTACGCTCGATGAACGCTCTACAAAACGCTTAAAAATATAAATCCCATTGTATTCAATGGTCTCGTTCCCACCTTGGCGTATTTCCGCACGTCCCTAACACGCTACAAAACGGCCCACGCCTGAAAAGGTCCAGGTACTACTTTGGGCCATTTTGTTGCGCGTTTCCATTGGGATACAGCCAAGTAGCCTTCGGAAAAGCGCGACGGTCGCGCAACTTTTTTACCACGAATCCATCAGTGTGAACTGACCTAACCGGACATAAGGCAAATTGCCTTGTCTATTCACTGAGCAACGCTGCCCAACGGGGCTTGTGTGAACAAGCCCTAAACACCAAATGTACAAAACACTTAAAGCTTCCCGTAGGAATGGCCAGATGATGCCAATTTGTAAATAAAGAAAATCCATGGCTCAGTACTCTTCATGGGCACTGGACAAGCTCAGTTTTATCAACATTACAGGTGACTAGATATCAAAACAGTACTTTGACCAGAGATATCCGACTTACGTGACTCATCAAGGTCGCCAGCCACCTTCCCTTATAAAGAGCCAACAATCACTAGATATTCTAAATGTGTGTACAGATGTAACCATTTTTACTTCTGCTTGTGCTGCTGTTAGAGAAATTTCTCATCTCCTGTCCTGGGGACAACCTTTTTACCAGACATGTCATAAGAACCGACTACTCTGGGATCACTGCTTAGAAAGAGCTGTGCATACACATACAGGGCTTCCGATGATTCCAATGCTGAGCGGGCAGTGTGCGCTTGCGCACACCGGCCCGTTCGGCATTTGTCTCCCGAGTACGCCACTAACCTGACGAAAATCGTACGATTCTCGGTGGGTTTTCAAGCATGTTTGGAAGACAAAAGACGTGCGACCGTACAGTAGAAAAAGGTTGCACGCCTTCCATACACCTGTCGATTATCGTACGATCGCGGTATCATCCGCGATTATCGTACGATAAATCGGCAGGTGTATGGGGACCTTTAGAGAAATCAGAAGATCACTGGAGAATCTGCTGAGATTGCGGCAACCTGTCACTGTTTCAAGCTGAGCTAATTTCACGCTGGGAGTCGAGCTGGGCTAGTGGATCAAGTTATCCTTGAAGTGTGAGGCGGCTTTTACTCCAGTATTCATCTGGTGGTCATTTCTTTAATATGCGAGTAGTTATAATAAATTCTTTCAAACTATCTATGGAGTGGTATGCATTATGTTTTCCGTTTGTTTTCTTCTATGAGCATTATGGACAAGAGGATGAACGCTTTCTTTTAAAGGATATACAGGTGGCTATGAATTAAATCACAAGACACATAGACCTTTTGGAAAAGATGTCTAATAGTAAGTTGACCAGCTTGTTTGTCGGAGATTCACAGGTGAAGTGAGGGATTGAAGAATTTCTACACAGTACTGGTGCAACGTTTGTCACTTTTTGCACAAAGACTTTAAGCAATTTTAAAGGACGCACAAAGTGTGGTGGTTTTACCAGGACTTTATTTGTGAAGATCACATTCTATATGATATTGTACATATTTATAAGATACATGTATATTGATTTGTTTATCGTTATTTAGTGCGGCGCAAAAACTATTTAAACCTTAAATAGTTAACTCAAAAACTAGGAGATATATGGCACAAACATGGCACTAACCAAGCAGCCCGGCTTCATGTCTTTTTGCTATTGTAGGGGGGCTGGGTGATATCGTCTTTAAAAAAAAAACCAATCGCTATTATGTTTAAAAGACAAGCAGCACAAATGTTGATTTTTTTTTACCACACAAACGTAGCACTAAAAAAACACACTGGAGTTTTTATTTGTGCCCATTGGAGGTGGCACAAGGTTAAAATAACTTTAATGAAAGAAATTTAGGGTCTGGCATAGCTAACAACCTTCTGAAATGTTAGTTGCCAGGTCCTCATGCTAAAGTCAATACATATTAAGTCACTGACATTTATGCATATTGGGAAAAAGTCATGCTCCAGGTTTTTCTTAGGAAAGATTTAATTCAAAGGTGATCTAAATTCTCCAGTGGTGAGGGTGAGCTCTTTGAACAATCTGCACAGCATCTATTCACATCATGGCACACTGAACTGCTAATGTGTTCTCTTCTAGCAAGTCCAGGCTGCTGTTGCCACTGCATATCTGAAGCCACTGCCATGGCGCTCCTCCTTAGCCACTGAATGGCCTCTAACAATGTAACTTTTTCACAGGCGCACAGGAGTTACATCATCCCCACAAGCCGGCTCTATTCGTGCCATGTACCGCGCAGTTTACATGTAAAAATAAAATTATCAGGCACATAGAGCATTCTTATCTAATGAGACTTTGCATGTGTCTTTTGCCAAAAAAAAATTACTTAGGACTGGGCAACTCTCACCCAGAACTAGGAGGCAGCACTAAGCAACCTGCATACATAGAACTTACCATAACACAGTGGGCTAGCTGGAAGACTGTTGGCTATATAGACCTATATAAGTCAACTATCTGTAAAGGTGATAGTATTCATTGTCTACCCAGCTGCTGAAACACATTGGTGAGTGATTTTCACTCACCTCATAGTTCTAGCCGACCTGCGACAATGAAACTGTCACAGGTCGGCTCAGTAGATCGGGAGGTGAGCGAACACATACCGGCGCTCGTTCACTTCTCGATCCTGTGCCGGCAGAGAGCTGCGACAGGGGAGGGACTGGATTCCCTCCTCCCATCCTCCAGCACTGACTGCGGAACGGACGGGGGAGGGTACAGCTGGCTCTGCCTCTAGATAGGCAGAGCCAGCTGTCACAACACGCAGCTGGGTGGATCCAGACAGCATTGTCGGGATCCGTTGCGGCGTCTCAGTGTATACTGAGCTTTGGGTGACGGGATAATTTAGGGTCTGGCATAGCTAACAACCTTCTGAAATGTTAGTTGCCAGGTCCTCATGCTAAAGTCAATACATATTAAGTCACTGACATTTATGCATATTGGGAAAAAGTCATGCTCCAGGTTTTTCTTAGGAAAGATTTAATTCAAAGGTGATCTAAATTCTCCAGTGGTGAGGGTGAGCTCTTTGAACAATCTGCACAGCATCTATTCACATCATGGCACACTGAACTGCTAATGTGTTCTCTTCTAGCAAGTCCAGGCTGCTGTTGCCACTGCATATCTGAAGCCACTGCCATGGCGCTCCTCCTTAGCCACTGAATGGCCTCTAACAATGTAACTTTTTCACAGGCGCACAGGAGTTACATCATCCCCACAAGCCGGCTCTATTCGTGCCATGTACCGCGCAGTTTACATGTAAAAATAAAATTATCAGGCACATAGAGCATTCTTATCTAATGAGACTTTGCATGTGTCTTTTGCCAAAAAAAAATTACTTAGGACTGGGCAACTCTCACCCAGAACTAGGAGGCAGCACTAAGCAACCTGCATACATAGAACTTACCATAACACAGTGGGCTAGCTGGAAGACTGTTGGCTATATAGACCTATATAAGTCAACTATCTGTAAAGGTGATAGTATTCATTGTCTACCCAGCTGCTGAAACACATTGGTGAGTGATTTTCACTCACCTCATAGTTCTAGCCGACCTGCGACAATGAAACTGTCACAGGTCGGCTCAGTAGATCGGGAGGTGAGCGAACACATACCGGCGCTCGTTCACTTCTCGATCCTGTGCCGGCAGAGAGCTGCGACAGGGGAGGGACTGGATTCCCTCCTCCCATCCTCCAGCACTGACTGCGGAACGGACGGGGGAGGGTACAGCTGGCTCTGCCTCTAGATAGGCAGAGCCAGCTGTCACAACACGCAGCTGGGTGGATCCAGACAGCATTGTCGGGATCCGTTGCGGCGTCTCAGTGTATACTGAGCTTTGGGTGACGGGAGGACGCTAGTGTGTGTCCTCCCGTTACCCTTAGGAGAACTAGAGGGGGGAAAAAAGCCCTAACCCCATAGTTCTCCTTTAAGCCCCTTCCACTTCTAGCACAATTTGTGTCACATTCACCATTCAGTACAGCATGATGGATAGCAAGCCATGGTTAGCGGTTTCTTTTTTTAGGAATATTTTTTTTTTTTTAAGGGTTCCCATTTATCTAAATCATTCAATTTTCAAAGCTACAATGTTCCCACCTGCTACCTGTAAGCCAATCTAGAAAACACTGTGCAATACAGCAATATAACACTCAGGTAGACACGTCTTCCCATAGGAGATGCCTCTTGTTTATTGTGTATTCCCCTGACCATGTATCTTCAGAATGAACTGAGAACACACGAAGGGGATGTAAGGGTGAAACACAGGCTAAAAACTAAGAAGAAAAACAGGCAGCCAGTGGAATTCAATACAGGTAGGAAGAGGCACAGTCACTGTCTGAGCGGCCCTTCGTATGTAAAACGATCAATTAATACTATCTGGAGGCTAGGGAATTGTAAACCCAGCCTAGACGAAGCTACATGCCCAATCCTGGAGACACCACTTACCGAACTGGGCGATAATATCCCGGGTCTCTTATCGCCCTCCGACACAGCGGCCGCCATCTTGACTCCGCCGGAGCCAGCAGTGCGATGACGTCAACCTTTTTTTCCTGAAAAACTTTATGTAAAATGAGACATACAGCTTTTTCCGTTTTCATCAATAAAACTTTATTTTTAAAAAACCGGACAGCCATATGTAAACACAGGGTTTTATCTGCTAGTAGAGTCAGGATCGTCCAGAGCCGAGCAGAACACTTCCTCCTTTATATAATGAACACTGTCCGGTAGTTTTTGCCGGCTGTGTCTATTCTCCTATAGCTTACTTACTCAGGGTTACCGACTGGAGAACAAAACCTGACATAATTTATTTATAGGTGACACAATAGGAAATGACATAAAAATATATAAACATCCACACACAAAACAAAATACAAGTTATGGCTGGTGTTCACCACCACACCACAAGAACTCCCTGAGTGCAGGCTGGAGGTAGAGTCTGCAGGAACTTGTGCAAACAACATGTGTGCAATTCTCTCCAGGCTTCGATGCAGACAGTTAATGAATGCAAATGTTTTCTTTTATTAAAGTGGAAGTAAAGTCAGTAAAATAAAAAAATTGCTAGGAGGTAGGGATTTTTGGCCGTAGAGATATGCAAAGTCTCCTTTGCCAAAAAAAAAAAAGTCTTCCTCTCTCCCCCAGTGCTGGAGAAGGGACACTTGTAAGGCAAATGTGCTTTGATGTGCTGTGCAAACTTGCAGATTAAGGCAAGTTTTCTACTGCTTTAATGTGGGTACATCCATTACATTTCTGTAAAAGATGGACTATACCTGTAAGGCTATATTCACACTTGTAGGCTTTAGTGTGATCTGTTAACACTTGTATTAAGGCAGCCATTTAAATGAACCAGCTGTCAAAGCACTACAAAAATTGGACCTGCACTATTTTTTTTAATTCAGCACACCACAACACATGGTCATGCTTTACTGTGCATTGTGGTGTGCCACCATAAAACATTTGGTAGCTCTCTCCCCCAACCTCCATTTAAATCAATCTATGGGCATATAATATACAATATTACATACCTCATTCCATTCTTCCACATTATTTCCACCTGTCTGAAGACTGGTCCCACAAAGATGCTCCCCTGTGCTGGTTGTGTGGACTCCCTTCTTGCTGACCTCTTCATGTACAATGTAGGATTTCTCCTATGTGGGGATGTCAAGGGTATGGCCACGTTAAGGGGCTGGAGTGGGAGCAAAAAAGAGTGCTGGCTGACGGGAGTGATTAATAAGTTAAGTACTCCTCTCATATATTCCCTTAGATTTACTATGAGAGGGGGGGCTGCCAACAGAGGATTATTATCAGCTGACTGGAGTTCAGTTTTAAAGTGTTCCTGTACCTTTGGGAATGGGAGGGGGTGGCAGTGGGAACAGCATTATAATGGTAATGGCTCATGTAGGTGGGCATTCTTGTCAAAGCAGCCTTGGGCTTGAAGGCATTTCTTTCAAAACCACAACAGAGACCTATATACCTGCAGTTAAAACACACCTCAATAGGACATGCTGCATCTGAAGAAACACAATGAAATGCCAGTCAAACGCAGCCTCTGAACTGTCATCTACACTACTCCTTTAAAGTCAATAGGAATCTGCTGGCCTGTGTTTCAATACCTGTTATGCTGCACGTCAATAAATAGACGGTTTGCTTTACACTCTGGAGTGCCGGTGTCTCTGCCTTTACTTATAGTTATGACGGTTGCCACCCGCTGACTACTGCAGCATCCACTTCATAGGGATCTTGCGTTCAGGAGTGCGATGGGACCATGGACTTTCTGATATTAATTTCAAACACACTTTTAGGTGTGTCGGATGCTTCTGACTCCCCACTGACATGATTCCATTGGTTGTATATTTTGAATGTAGGAAGGAAGCAATCAGCTCACCACGCGAGTACAATGGCAGAACTGAACTGCAGCAGGTGGTACAAGGCAGCAACTTCTCTCCATGTGCAAGTACTAAAAGTCCCCAAAAAAACAGCTCCCTGATCTTTAAGCTTTTATTACCACTCTAGTTAGTGTTGATGTCCTATTTATCTGGCATGCAATAATAAAAGTTTAAAGGTTGGATAAAGTTTGGATGGTGACTCTTTTAGTGCTTGTATATTTTAAATATGCTGGACCAAAATGTGCGTACAAGGGATCATTCCCACCATATATATAGGTAGGTTCTAAAAAGTCAAGACAAATGTTTTTCTGTAAAGGTTGCCATGCTCTGGTCTATTTTTCTTCTTCAACCTATAGGCTGAACAAGAAAAATAGAGCAGATTTTTCCATCAACAGGAGTGTGTTGATCGAGAAATCCAGCTGTTTGCATTGTATTTTGACAGGTGCCGCCGGCCGCAGTGAAAATAAACTACAAGAGCGGGCAGCTCATTGGCTGCTGGCTCCTATTGTACAAAACTTTTCTGGCCAGCTGATCGAGGGATGCCGGCCGAGAGGTACTGACAGCGTCACCCACTGTGTGAATTTCGGCTGGTTCCTCAAAAGCCGGATGAAATTCGCACAGGGTATGGGCATCTTTAGTCTCCTCTCAGCATACCTTGGGGCAAGTCTCTCTCCCACAATTTAGTGTCAGCTGGAAGTATGGTGTTGCATGCCAATTGCATGCCTTGAAAGTAACTGGAGGCATTCATTTGGTGGGCAAGGTCCCTCTTTAAAGTGGTTTTATGACTGCTCTATCCCATTAACTGCATGTCCTACTTTATTGACACTGAAAGTATCATTGCTCAATCCTCAAAGTCCTGCACTGAATGCAGAGGCACTGTACCCCTGACACTGAATGAACAGTTTTAGAATAAATAACAGGAATGCCTGTAATCAAGTTAGGACAGGGTTTTGCAGTGATTAAAAGGGCAGTGGTTAAAGGTGGCCATACACTTTACAACCATCGCAAGACCTTAAAAAAATGTACGATCTGCCTATCTTGGACAGGCAGATCGTACTCTCGATCATCGCAAGCCCGCCCCCCTGAGGGGCGGGTTTCCGATGACCGCAATGCTGAATGGGCAGTGTGCGCGTGCGCACACCGGCCCTTTCGGCATTTGTCTCCCGAGCACCCGAGTACGATTTTCGGCTGGTTTTCTAGCGTGCTCCTTAGACAAAAGACGTGCGACCGTACAGTAGAAACAGTCGCACGTCTTTGTTCACACTGCTTGATTCTCGTACGATCATGGGATTTCCCGCGATTCTCGTACAAGAATCGAGCAGTGTATGGGCACCTTTACACTAGCATGTTAGAAAGTCTCTGTGTGGATCGGTATGTTTTCTAAATGCTAACGATGATTGAAAGGGGGCCACAACACTTGTCCTTATTCATGTGTTTAGAAATAGATTTTCCCCAAAATATGTTTTAGATCTGTTGCTGGCATGATCTTTGTTTCTGACTATCCAAAGACATGCTGGTAGGATAATTGGCTCCTCTCTAAGTTGGCCCTCTATGTATGCATGTGAGATAGGGACCTTAGATTGTAAGCTCCTGGAGGGTAGGGACTGATGTGAATGTGCAGTATGTAAAGTGCTGCGTAAATTGTCGGCGCTATATAAATACCTATAATAAATAAATAAATAAATATACAGTAAAGGAATGAGGACACATCAATATAATACTAACCTTTATTTTGAAGCAACTCCTGAAGCAGCCCAATTGCTAATGAATACAAAATTATTTGTTGCTTAAGGAGGGACAAAACAATCATATCACTGACTCCTACGAAGAAAATGAATTATGTAAAAGCATTCTCTTCATCACATGGTAAAGTTAAAACTGCCAGACAGTCTTGCTGCAAAGGTCCTATTATCTGTTCAGTGAATGCAACAATCCATTTGTTGTTTTGTTCTTGGTGTCTTGTCATTGGTGAAAACATCCACTGGTATATAACATACCCTTCCGTATGTATGATCATGTTATTATCTGTCTTTTTGCAGATAAACCGTTAGCTGTTCAGATAAGTATCCCTGGCATCGTCATCAGTGACTATGTTTCATTCTTATTTTGAAGCTAGACTGAGATGAGCCTAAAATAGCTAGTACACTTAATATTTTTGTTGCTGACAGCAGTCAAATCTGTATAATTTGTTCTTTTTAAAAGATACATTTGCGCAGCTTTGAAAAGTCATTGTGGTGTGAAATCCAGCATGTTAACCCAAACAGAGCCTTACTTTCAGGGCTCCAGTAACAACAAAATTCAGGAACGTCAGCAGCACACCAATATAATGTGAAATTAGTCCATTTAATGACTCAAAATTGTCATACAAAGGCTTTGTATGACAATTTTGAGTCATTAAATGGACTAGTTTCACATTATATTGGCGTGCTGGTGACGTTCCTGAATTTTGATGTACTTCTCTGTGCCATCCATGGTCATTACGAGCACCCGCCTGGAATACAGGCTTACTTTGAACCATTAAGAAGTGCAGCATGATATATCTTATACCGGTAACAACAAAAGCACATACAGTAAATCAGGCTGAAAGTAGAATTAGTTATAAAACAAATGATCCCTTGGAGACAGTCCATATATGAGTGGAGCCTATAGTTTCATAAAGTTACCACAAGGTGGCACTGCTTGAATATTATTCAAAGATATTTGTTGAAAAGATGAGTAAAAATGTTAGAAAAATTAAACTGTTCGGTAACAATACTCATAATAGTAATAATAATAATAATAATATATTGTGTTAATATTCTACAAAAACAAACCA